GGTTGGGCAGGGCCACAAACAATGAGCCACAGTGGGACCAAGGGGATGGTCTGGGACTCAGGAGTCCCCAAGGTGATTTTGTTTCTGGACTTTCCTCTCCCAGGGCAACACTGAATTGCACCTTGGATCAGCACTGCACCTGCCTGTCTTTCTAATTGCTTTTCTCCTGCTGTCCTGGAAAAGATAGTACTTCAGATACCTGGCGGCGGGGTCTTGCCTTACTGTGGCATGAACCTAGAAGGAAATGACTTTGTGCTTTAAGGCATGTTATTGTCAGTGTCTGGAATACCTTGGGCATAGCCATGTGCTCAGATGATCTGAGTCTGTTGCATACCCCTCCAAAGAGTTTCTTGTAATCATGAGGAAAGAATGTATTGGGTGCTCCAGAACCGTTTCTGTGTAATAAGGAAAATTAAAAAGAAAAGATAGAAATTCTTGCAGAAAACACTAGAACCTGGGCTGAGTGCTGTGGAGGATACAAAGAAAGAAAAGACACTGTCCCTACGCGTGAGACGTTTACCATCCAGTGGGCAAAGTCAGCTCATGCACACACATGCAGCAAGTGCCTGAGCATTGCAGGAGAGCCGCAGACCCCAGCCCAGGACAGCTGGCAGGCCAGGGACATGTTGCTGACGCCTGGGCTGTGTTGTAGGCAGCTACCTACTAAAAATAAGCATGGTGTTCGTGGAAGGCTGACTTAAATTAGACTGGGCTCAAGGTCATGCACAGAATGATGTCACCATCACCGGCTCCTGGTTCTTTGTATTCTTTGGAATTGAAGGCTGAGTGACAGGCAGCTAGGAACTGAACTGTACACACAGGCAGGTTCACTAATGGTGTGGCCCGAGAGTGTCCTGGCAGCAAGAGGATGGAGACCAGTGGTGCCCTGGTTCATTCTACGGGACTGGGAAGGGGGAGCAGGAGGTAGCTCACCGTTTCCTGGGGTGGTGGAGTCAAGACTATGCCTTCAGTGAAGGGTGGGATGGGGTGAGTGCAGCAGAGGGCTCTGTCCTCTGTTACAGGGGTCAGGGCTGGGAGGACAGTGCTCTGACCGGGTTCATGGTAGCAGAGTGTTAGAGGAGTGTCATGGGAGCCTTGAACCCTGAGCTCAACACCAGCCCAGGGAGTGGGGCCCTCGTCACTGCAGCCCCAGCACGGACAGGGTCCACCCACTGCAGAGGAGGTGCTCAACACATATTTGCCAAATGACTGTATTAATGAACTAGACCTGGCCACCAGGTTTTATCCTGTAGATGAGATGTAGAAGGCTGGACAGGGAAGTGGCATTTGGCAGCAGGTACTCTGTGGACTTTTCTCTTTGGCATCAAAACTTCCTGTCCTGAGTCTTATTTTATTTGTCAAACTAACCAGTCTGAGAAGTCAATACCAGGTACTAATGAAAAACAGCAGCTGACTGTAACATTGCTCCCGGGTATGTTAGCATTTTAACACGAGCCTTCAAACTTGTTTTGTTTTGTTTTGTTTTTGTTTGTTTTGAGATAGAGTCTTGCTCTGTTGCCCAGGCTGGAATGCAATGGCATGATCTCGGCTCACTGCAACTTCCGCCTACCGGGTTCAAGCGGTTCTTCTGCCTCAGCTTCCTGAGTGGCTGGAATTATAGGCGCCTACCGCCACAGCCGCTAATTTTTGTATTTTTAGTAGAGATGGGGTTTTACTGTTAGCCTGGTTAGTCTCGAACACCTGACCTCAGGTGACCGCTTTGGCCTCCCAAAGTGCTGGGATACAGGCATGAGCCACCACACCTAGCCTTCAAATTGTTACCAGATGTCTGGAAGCGCAGCAGTCATGCAAGGCAGGGGATTGGGAGGGCAGGCGTTCTGGTTGGAGAATCCGTTAAGTCTCCTGAACGTCTCCATGAGGAACTGTATCCAGCTTTGTTGTCAGGCAGGCCTTGGTTGGCTTCCACCTTGACAGTTAAACTACATACAGCTTTGGTTGGGCGCGGTGACTCCTGCCTGTAATCCCAGCACTTGAGAGACTGAAGTGGGCAGGTTACCTGAGGTCAGGAGTTCAAGACCAGCCTGGCTAACATGGTGAAACCCCATCTCTACTAAGAAAAATACAAAAATTAGCCAGGCGTGGTGGTATGTACCTATAATCCCAGCTACTTGGGAGGCTGAGGCACAAGAATTGCTTAAACCTGGGAGGCTGACGTTGCAGTGAGCCTAGATCACGCCACTGCCCTCCAGCCTGGGCAACACAGCAACACTCCATCTCAAAAAAAAAAGAAAAAGAAAAAAAAGATGCATACGGCTTCTTGTTGTTTTATCTCCTCCCTGGTGTAGCCTGGAGAATTTCAAATTCATGAAGGTCTGAACAGTGGGGTTGTGCCCCCATTCTCTTCCATCTCCACTGGGGCTCTGTCCCTTGACTGTGGCTGTCTGATACACCAGATAAGTCATTAAAAGTGACCTTGATAAAACTGGCAGTGCTTTCTCACTGCATGAGGAATAACTTGAAATAAAACCTGTGCATTCTAATGTTGCTCTTACTGCCATGTAGCTTTCTTTCTCATTTTTTCTTTTTTAGCAAAGCAAATCAGATGGATTTATGTTGCTCTCTGATCACCGATGTAGCAGTCTATAGCTGCCTCATCAAGATCATTAGACTGGAGTAGTGATAATCCTAGAGACCGCCTGCACAGGGAGCATGTTCAGGTCGCTGCTGTCCCAGAGACACATTTCCCTGTCCCTGGATGATCAAGGGCCAACTGAGTTTCCATGGAACTTTCTCCTTTGACACTGCCCTGTGGTGTACTCCCTCTTAAGATATTATTGACAAGTCTAGAGGAAAGCCTTGACTCATTTGAAACTTTTAAGAGAATCCTGCTACTTAACACCTCTAGGCTGAAGCAAGCAGCTGACAATCTGTCTCAATTTTACAGCGGCCAGAGGGCTTGCAGGCTTAAGGTTCACATTTGGCATCAGCCTACATTATTTTTGGAGTTTCAACATGGAGCTCAGTACACATCATGTTTCATTCCCCAGGCGATTGATGGCCACAGAGCCATGATGGCCGTCCATCTCTGTCAGAGCTTATCACATGCACCGTTAGAAACACAGTTATTAATACCCTCTCACTTGATTTGGCTACTTCAAGAGCTAGAACTTTGATGTTCCTTTTTTTTCTGCTCTACCCTTCTTGACTAGATTTTAAAATTCAGAAACATCAACTTTGGTCTGCCCTAGTCTGCCTTGATGGCTTAGGACCAATCCTTTGGCCCTGGGTAGATGAATCTCCTGGGGTCCCCTGAGGACTGGAGGGTGGTCTCTCATCGTCTGTGGTTGTAGGATCTTGGGCATCCATGAATTATCATGCAGACTTGGGAAGTGGGAAGAAGGGGCTTCTAGGTCATTTGGTGGCAGAACATATCTCAGCCAAGGGCACTGCCAGATGCCATCCAAATTCACTCCCTTGCTCCTTAGGCTGTAGCCCTGATTTTACTTAGGGCTGGAGTGTAGCCTGCCTGAAAGCATTTCCCAGTTAACATTTTCCCTTGCTAACAGATGGGGCCGTGTGATGCCATTTTGGCAGTGGCTAAGTAATGGAGCTGTGGGGTGGGACTTCCGGGCAGGGTGCTTCAAGGGAACTGACTCAGCTAGCGGGTGTGCTTCTGCATCCTCCCAGCGGCCCTCCTGCTCAGGACTGTCCTCTGGACATGCTGCTTGGCACTGAAGACAGCATATTGAATCATAAGGTGGCCGAGGACAGAAGGCTGTGTTGAGATGACTGAGTAGCAAAATAGAAAGAGCCTAGATCTGTTTTCAGGATTTAAAAATGAACCTTTTTATTTTGAGATAATTGTAGATTCACATGCAGTGGTAGTAAGTGACATAGAGATGCCCATCTATTCTTTTTTTTTTTTTTTTTTTCCTGAGGCGGAGTCTCACTCTGTCGCCCAGGCTGGAGTGCAGTGGTGCAATCTCAGCTCACTGCAACTTCTGCCTCCCGGGTTCAAGCGATTCTCCTGCCTCAACCTCCCACATAGCTAGGATTATAGGTGTCTGCCACCACCATCTGGTTCATTTTTGTATTTTTAGTAGAGGTGGGCTTCACCATGTTGGCTAGGCTGGTCTCAAACTCCTAACTTCCAGTGACCCGCCCACCTCAGCCTCCCAAAATGCTGGGATTACAGGCATGAGCCCACCAAGCCCAGCCTGCCCATCTATTCTTTATCCACTTTCCCTCATAGTATCATAGTACCACAGCATAGCCAGGGCCTTGACTTTGATACAGTTAAGGCAGCAGGAGGAGCCCCTCATCATGCACCTCTACACAACACAATAAGGAGTATACATCCATTACCCCCCGCCCCACACCTGCCCCAACCACTGGAAACTGCTCATCTGTCGCCGTGAAGGCAGAGCCTCTATCCCAGCCCTAAACCACTCTCCTTGGTATAAACTTAGGTTGATTGAAAGACATAAATATCTGAATTAATGATGCCACATCATTTTTAAAAATGTTATACAGTCAAACCTAACCCTTAGCTGAGACAACAGAGGTCCAGAAAAGGAGACCAATCATTATTATATTGGGGGAAATATATATTTGTGGTGTCAAAGAAGCAGGACATCTCAGCCACATGCCAAAAGATTGGGGGTTGCCGCTTTCACATGCCATTGCATTTCCTTTCCTCGCAGCGGTGACCCTGGCTTGTATGAGGTACTTTTGAATGTTTTTATTCCTGTCTTATTTGGGTATTATCAATAATTCATTTTAAATATTCTGGCTGCTACAAACATTTACTTCAGAAGGATTTATTGTATCCTAAAGTCTGCATTTATGATTTCTTGAGATGATATCACTTCCTTGGAGATTTCAGTTCTGATTCTCAGAAAGAGATTAGTGGGGGAAGTAAAATTTGATGTTCAGAAATGTTCCAGAAACTTGGCCACAATGTGTCAGGGCTGCTAGGCGGGCTGCCACTTTCCCGGGCATGTCTCAGCCGGCCGCTCACAGTGTGTCTCCCCTTCCAGGAGCCGGTGTCAGAGAGGACGTGTTTCTCATTTGGCGGGAGATGGAGGAAGCCCACAGCACACTGGCCCAGATCCAGAGGCTGGTGGCCGAGCCTCCCAAGCCCGACGTGGCCACAGTGGACTGCGGTTGGTGCTATTTCTGGTCACTGATATAAAAGGGTCATAAATGTTTTTAGCAGGGGACCAGGGGCTGCTTCCATGTCCCTGACCAGGGAGCTCCAGAGCCCAGCTATGAGGAGCTCCGGAGGAGAGCAGCCAGAGATGTGTGGGGTGGGGGGCAGGGGGGCTGTACACGCACATACGTGTGTGTGTGTGTGTGTGTGTGTGTGTGTGTGTAGCTTGTCAAGGCCCAGAGCAGGACAGTAAAGTGGTAAAAACAGATTCTTGACAAACTCTTGTATACTGAGGGAAATCAGACCTCCATATAAAACTAGGCTCAATTCTGAGTACAACATGGACAAGTGGGGATTCATAGCCAAGGAGCAGGGGGACACCAGAGGATGGAAAATTATTAAGAGGAGACGTCAGGGGCAAGGGGCTTCTGGCTAAACCAACTTAACAGGACTCTTGCAGAAGAGAGGCCAGTGTGATCAGACGTCACCTGGGGGACAGTGGGAACGAGGATGCTGATCAGATAGCAAGGTGAGCAGATACCAAGGTGGGGCATTCTGGCTACACTGACTTAGGCTTTTTGCTAAAATCAGGCGATGCAGAGATGAGCATAGAAGTGCAAAGGTTGAGGCCTCGCTGAGAAGAGCATTCAGGGGAGCCTGGCTAAAGGCTGGGTAAGGGGACTGTCAAGTTGCCTGTGCTATTCCAGGGAGGAGGAGCAGGAGGAGAGCTCAGTGATCTTCCTATCCAAGCTGTCTGTGCAGGCAACCATCTGTCTCACTCTCAGATCCCTACAGGAAGGCCTAAATCACTTTTCTTTGAGCAGGGTCCAGGTCCTCACTGCAGAAGAGGGCACAGACTGGGGAAGGGGTGTGGAATGTTTACTTGGAAGGAGTAGTGTGAATGGGGGTTGGAGTTATTGATATTAAAAAGAAATTATTAAAATCTTGTGGCATTTCTGGTATTCACTTAGCACTCTTCCATCTAATTTGGAATAGCCACTTGAAATTTTGGAATTTGGAAGACTGATTTGCATTCCCTAAATGGTAGTAACAGCAATATTGAGTGAGGACATACCATGTGTCAGTTGCTGCCCTGAGGGGTAGGCCTATATTAAGCTCATTTAAGCCTCATAACTCTACCAGGGAGTTTCTAGTATTATCTCCAATTGACAGGCAAGGAAACTGAGTCACAGGGAGATTAAGTAATTGGCCATGGTCACATAGCTAGCAAACATAGTCTGATTTTGAACTCAAAATATAGAACAGGAACTTTCCCACCTAGTTAAACTTTTACAAAAAATGTTAGCAGTGAGGCTATATTCATCTTAATGTTAGTTTCCATGATTTAATTAGCACCTACCTATTCTGAATAAATGAAAGCACTTCCTGGTGTTTGATGTGTTCCAGCCCCACAACTGCACCATGCGAACCAGCTCATTGCAGTTTTACTAGTGAATGACGTTGAGACTACACAAAGTATTTTCTCCCTTTTTTTCTTGTAAATCAAAGCGTTTTTCATAACAAAGGGCATGAGTTTGGGAGTGAGAAAGTCCTGGTTATACATCCCAGCTCCATCACTAGATCCACCTGAGTTTGTCTCTTTCAGCCTTATTCCTCTACACAATGACTGATAATCTTGATGCTGAGGAACTGCTGTATGGACGAAATCCGACAATGCCTGCTCTACACCAAGCAGGAACTTGATCTCAGCTCATTCTTTGCCCCTTCACTCTTAGGGCAGTTAGTACGCAGATTCTCCTGTATGGCCTTTCCTCTGTAAGGTGCTGGTTTCCTTTGGGGCACACCTGGTGGATGCACATACCTTACATAGCAGGCTCTGTTTAAGGCTCCTCACAGTATTAGCTCATTTCATATTTGCCACAATCTTATGAAACAGGTACTACTGCTACTATTATATCCATTTTGGCTTCAGTAACGTGACCAAGGCTACACAGCTAATGAGTGATGAAGCTTGGATTCAAAACCTAGTTCATCGGTAAAAATACTAATGTCTGCCTCCCACCCATCAGACATGTAGTCAGGATGTCTGATTAAATTATCCTGATTTAATCCCTATGGGACGACATTGGGACTTTTGAAAGCTCCCAAGGTGATCCTAGTGTGCAGCTAATTTTGGAGCCACTGCCAGGCTGCAGTGCCTCCTGGGTTACAGAGGTGCAGTGGGCAGAGAGCAGGGAGATCACAACGGCATGGAAAAGGAGGCAGTTAGAGGAGAAATGGGGACCGGGACTTGTGTAGAGGGAGAGAGAGAGGTTGAAGCGTAGGCAAGCTTGCCCTGTGTTACTTGATAAATTCCTGGTGACTATGGCCTTTTCCTATGACTGGGTGTCCTGACTTGGGCTTGGGACACCAGCTGCTGCGGTTCCATTGCCAGGGCTGGCTGCCTGGGGGTTCCTGAGAGGGGCCTAATAGGCTTGTCAGGAGGAGCTGCTCACGTGTAGTGACACCCACTCGAAAACCCAGACTATCCTCTGTCATCCTGCAGATGAACAGAATGAACACCAAGCAGGGGACCCAGGCTACACCCAGCAGCTCTGCCGGGCAAAGAGAACGGTGAGCCTGCTGCTAAGGGATTTGTTTGGGGGAGTGTGTGGGCTGAATTATGAACCCCCCAGATTTATACAATGAAGCCCCCACCATGTGACTGTATTTGGAGATAAGGGCCTTTAGAAAGGTAATTAAGGGGCCAGGTATGGTGGCTCACACCTATAATCCCAGCACTTTGGGAGGCCAAGGTGGGTGGATCATCTGAGGTTGGGAGTTCAAGGCCAGGCTGGCCAACATGGCAAAACCCCATCTCTACAAAACATACAAAAATTAGTTAGTTGTGGTGGCATACACCTTTAATCCCAGCCACTCAGGAGGCTGAGGCACAAGAATCGCTTGAACCCAGGAGGTGGAGGCTGCAGTGAGCAGAGATTGCCCATTTCACTCCAATATGAGCAACAGAGTGAGATTCTGTCCCAAAACAAACAAGCAAAAAAACAAACATAGTAATTAAGGCTAAATGAGGTCATCAGAGGAGGGCCCTAATCTGATAGGATGGATGTCTTATAAGACGAGGGAGAGACATCAGCACGCCCTCTCCCCACGAGCACTCAGAGGAAAGGCCATGTGTGGCACAGGGAGAAGTGGCTACCTCCTAGGCAGGAAGAATAGCCTGACCAGAAACCAGCACTGCTGGCACCTTCATCCTGGGCTTCCAACTTCAAACAGTGAGAAAATAAATGTCTGTCGTTTAAGGCCCCGGCCTCTAGTATTTTGTGATGGCAGCCCAAGCTGACTAATACAAGGCTTATTTAAGTTTGGTGTAGCTAGTGTTAATAGTTAACAGAAGTTCTTAGATGTTATTCCTAAATGAAGTGGATGAGTTATAAGACTCAGAAATTGGACAATGATGTATCAGTTCCCTTTGTTTTGATCTAATACACACACACACACACACACACACACACACACACACAAACACACACATACCCCTAAGACCCAAAATAACTGTAAGCAGAAATTTTCAAAAAATTTTTTGAATGTACCATCTCTATTTAAAAAAGAAAGCTTGGCAAAGACCTTTCATCATTGGCTAGCCATCTCAGCTTTTGTAACTTTGATCTGGCCCCAGAGTCTACACCATGTGTCTGACCTGCTCTTATTCTTACCACAGCCCACTGTTACTGAGGCAAAGACTGGGCCAGTGCAAGACTGGCTTAGATGGCCTCATAGAAAGGCAGTGGCCATTCCCCTAAGCTGGCTGCTCAGCGCCTGCAAGACCCAGGAGATAAGGTGGCCAGCTGCAGAGGGAAGGGGCAGATTGGAGGAGATCTAGTAAGTTGCTATTTCACATGGAGCCTTCAGATGATTTAGACAGAGGCTGATCTCCTCAGTGATGGCAGCCCACACATGTCCCCTGGGCTGGGCACACTGGTTTAAGGTCAGCAGGCATATATATGTCCATAGGACCAGGAGGGCAGTTTCTGGGAGAAATGTCTCATGAGCCTGGTGCCTGGGATGGGAAGCAGGTGAGAAGAAGGCAAGGCCACTTATAGTTTTTTTTAACCTCTTTTAATTACCAAGAGCAGGACCTGAGAGTTCCCTGGGAAAAAAAACTGCCAAAAATATATGAATCAATGGTTTGTAGGACACTGAATACTAAGAATGAAGGCCAGTGATTTCTGACATAGAGGGCAAAACAATGGTGAGCTCTAGGTTTTCCTCACTTACTGCCCTGAGAAAGTTTCCAGGCCCTGGTGCACAGAGGAGGAACCCAAGTGGAGCCCAGAAAACATCCTGGATTTGGGAGACAGAGCTGAGCATCTGGAGGGACCAAGGCAATTCACAGGACAAAGTACCAGAGAGGAGACAGATGCACAGAGAGAGAAGTCAAGAAATCTGCACAGGAATCCCCCTCAAGAATTCATTTGAATACTGATCAACTCATGCATGAGAGATTATCTGAGTCTGGGGAAAGGGCCATTGGAAAGAGAAGAAACGGAGCTTGGAATTCACACAGGGCCAGGAACAGTACCTGTTCTCATCAGCCTGAAAGCTTTAGAATTCATGGGGCCTTGGGTGGACTGCTTGGAAAGGTCTTGCCTCAGTCATGGGGAACAATTAGCTTTAAACTGAGTTCTGCTTTGGGCCCTCCTAAGAAATCACTAGAGCAAGCCATGAAAAGAACAAACCATTTCTAGGTAACATAACAGCATCTCTGAACAAAGCTCAAGAGAAATTTTAAGAACGGAAGCATTCAGTACCCAACAAAGTCAAACTCACAATGATTGGCATCTAATCAAAGATTACAAGGCATGAAAAGCAGCGGAAAAATGTGATCCCTGATAAGCAGAAAAATCAATCAATCAAAACTGACTGAGAACTAACACAGACATTGGAATTGGCAGAGATGTCACTCAGAGTTATAACTGTATTCCATATGTTCAAAAGCTAAGTCGAGACAAGAAAGATATTTAAAAAGATATATACTGAACTTTTAGATAT